GTGTAGTCAGTGGTGGTCCCTGTAATGGCTCACTATATAGTGACGAAACAGTATACAAAGCTGACCAGGCTAATGGTTGTAAAAATACTCATGGTGTGACCACTGCTACCGCTTTTTATAGATTATGGACACTAAGTGGATGTTGTAATACAATATTTCAAATATATCTACTAGGTGACATTGGCTTTGGAACATATACTTTAAGTCCCGGAGTTAATAAAAATGGTCTAGTTTAAGCCATTTAGGGAATTGTATTTTTTTGTGATTTAATGTAAGGTATATTAACACAGTACAATATATAAAAATGTATAATAACCTTAAATGTATTAATAAACATTTTACAATAAAGTTTTAATTTTCTTATATTATTTTTGATATAGCTATTGAATAATTTATATAATAATATGAAACTTATTTTTCCAATGAGCTGGATCATATGATGGCTGGGGTACACCCGTCTATTTATGGAGTACTAGTGCCGCCCAATAGAAATAATTTTGTAAATGTCGGTCACTGTAGCTCTGATTGCTTTCATCAGGTTTTCACATATTTCATGAAAATTTTAGTGAAATCCTAATATAAAAATTATTTTATAGCAATCAGGACCCTGGTCATTGACAAATGGTATTACAATCACACATATTGAACCACATGTTCACACAAAAGGCAATTATTTATTTGTAAATTTATAAATGTTAAATACATAGTAGCATTTTATTCACATAAACTATTTTACTGAACAACAAAATGTTTTATGATGTGATGACTGATTATAATTTGTAAAATAATTTATAATATTATTTTGTACAACAGGTACTAAAATAGTAATCAGACATTTCCGAGACAATGATGAATTGGCAAAAGTGTTACAAATAGACAATTTCGATGAGGCTATCAATATATACTACAAACTCGATAATCCAGTTAATTTTAGAGACAAAGATATCTTATGAATTGAGTGCTACTATAATAATCACTTAAGTAATGAGACATTAGTTACACCGGTATTCAAACTCTAAAGTATTGATTGAGTGAATGTTTTAATAAAATTATTTGACTAGACTGCCAAACACGGGGGTGAGATATGTCTGGCATTCATGTATTATTATCCACCCGTAAAGGGCGGTGGTATGTGTTTCAGTATGTCTGACGAGTCTACCTTGCTTAAAAATGCAAACGTTGAACAGATATCAGGGTATGAAAAATATTATATTTTAATAATTAATGCAGATTTAAAGTCTTACAACTAGGTAATATTTTGAAATGTATGGTATAGATATTGGTTGAACCCGAAGCCTATGATATTAAACCCGGATCATTTAAAAAATACCCGGTTAGACGACCATATCCGCAAAAAGGTTGACTTCAAGGATGACATCCAACAAGAGGTCAGGTTTTCTACCAAAAGAATTCGGTGTAGTATTATTCAGCAAAAGAATGAGCCACATCAAATGGGATTTGTTAATTACCCTGATGCATTTATTAGAAATAATAGTCTTTATTTTGTTTGAAAAGCGATAATATTAATAAATTAAAAACTTTTATATATAATTTCACAACACGAACATTAATCTAACTTTTAAAATTTATTAATTTATATATATATAATACAATAATATTGCTTACAATTTAAAATTAATTTCAAAACAGATTGTAATTATAAAAGACACAAAATTGAATCAGCTGTAAAAATTTTAATCTTGCATAATAAGCCTGCATAAATAAACCTTTAAGAGTAATACAAAATTATATTATTTAGTAATATATAATTATCTACGGTATTCAATACTTGTTTATATTAATATGAAATTGAAATAGTTTTTAAAATTTTTAGTATCCCAATATATTTTTAAATAAAGTAAAGTATGAAGGTGATTTTTTCAGTTTGCATTATTATGTATTTATCTCAAGAAATTCTGTGTATTAATAGCAAAGGTGGGTGTTATCTATTTCATTTTAATTTATTTAAAATAAATAATAATTACTGTGTTATTAAACAAATTATTAATTAATTCAATAGATCCATTACAAATGCCACCCTGGGGCATTATGCTTTACAATGAAAGCTGTCGATATGAATACACAAATGGACAAAATGTTGACCTGTATTGCACATTTCCCCGAATAAATTATACCCAATTATATTCAATTAAAATGTTTAAAAATACAACAACTATATACACAATGAACATATTGAATAATGGTGAGCAAGTTGACCAAGATTCTTAAAATTATTTAATGATAAAATTATAGGTACGGGGTTTTATTCGATTACACATACAATTCAAGATTTTGGACAAATTGAATCTAGGGAAAATAAGGACCAGGATTATATATTAATTAGCATTGCAAATACTACAGATCAAACATCGGGCGTGTATTCGTGTGAATATAATTACCTGGATATCCCACATAATAAGAGTTTGGATTATTCGGTATCAAATATAATTTGCAATAGAAACTCGTGCAATAAGTTATATAATGGTTTGAGTGATTGTTACCGTGTGATTGTTACCGCAAGTACCGTACTACCATCAATTAAATTATTATGTATGATTTCAGGTAATTTAAATTTATTTTAAAATGTGTACTATTTCTATTTTTAAGTATTGTTTATTAAAAAATGTATTAAGAATTTAACATGATGATTTTATGACTGATTTTACTTGTTAGAAATTCAATTAAACCAAAAATGGACATTTGAAATAAATTTTGTATAATTTGGTATTTTTATCTAATTTATGTATTAGTCTTATATCTCATCTAGTTCGTATTTGGTGCATTTTCATGAACCAAAATAGATAATTAAAAATATAAAACCCTACATATATATAGGTGACTTGTTTTAATGATTGAGATTTACTGTTTTAAGACAAAATTGATAGTATATAAGAAAAACTTGCACAAAATATGTTTATTAATTATCATTTAAATACATTGTATACCATTTTTATAATATTTTAGAATATACTTGACAAATATATGTTTATAAATAATATCAGACAAATTGGTCAACAAAATTAAATACTTTACGAGCCAACTAAGCCATTATTATTAACACCGGGACTAAGGGTATATGTTCCAAATCCAATATTACCAAGTAAATATATTTGACACGTTGTATTGCAACTCCCAGATAGTGTCAATATGGCATAATAAGTTGTAAAAGTGGTCACACCATTAATACTATTACAACCGTTAGCTTGGTCAGCCTTGTATAGTGCATCGTAATTAACTTGCGAGCCATTACAGGGACCACCACTGACCACACCACTTGATATTTCCAACCGATCACCTATTTAATTATAAATATATTTATTATTTATCTATATTTCATATTATCATACGAATGGGTTAATTGGAAATTATATTTAAATATTTTATTTCTAGCTAAGAAATTAATTAGAAATATTGAGACTTGATTACCATTGACAAATGTGTTGACCGAGTTAACTTGAATGACAGTAATGGTAACAAGTATGGTTCGACTCAGTTGGTTGGCAATTAGTGTGTAATTATTGGGCTGATATATATCCACTCCATTGCAACTATAATTACGAAGTGTAGATCCCGATTGAATCATTGCCACGATGTTAATGGTAGTGTTGGCACTACTCGTGCACATAAACACGTTTTCAGAAGTAAGGGTTGTCATCACAATTGGAGTGACGGCTATTCAATGGGCATGTATTTATTTAACAATATGACCATACTTACACGTTATGTTATATTTCACACTATTATATTTATATAATATCAATATATTATACATAACTGACCTATATCGTGTGGCGAACTAGTAGGTGGGCTGGTAGGTGGAGTAGTCGGTGGACTTGTTGGTGGGGTAGTCGGTGGACTTGTAGGTGGTGTAGTAGGTGGACGTGTTGGTGAAGTAATAGGTGGACCAGTAGATGGTGAACTAGTAGGCGGAGTGTTTGGTGGAAATGTATGTGGATATTTCCCAGCTAAATGTTTTATTATAAAATTGTTAAAAGTTAAGTTCAAAAATCTTAAAATTTATGAGTTAATTTAATATAATATAATTAAATTTATTAAACTGACCCCATACAAATGCATTGATAGCAAACAAAATGAATGCAATTCTAAGCATTGTAAGAATACTCATTAACTTATTATTATTCAATTAATTCATATTTTAGGATATTAAATTTGATAACGATAATGTAAAATATAAAAACATTTGACTAGTATGCTCAATTTATATGATATTTTATAACATATGTTATAAATACAATGGTTGTTAAGTTAATGTGTCTTTATTGTTTAAAGAGTTAAGAATAAAATATATAAATATTAATTATTATTTCAAATATTTATATTTTATTAGTTATCAATTTATATAATGAATACGTATATAATTTTATTAAATGAACAGTATCAAATTATTTATATATTGAAGTAAACTTTGAACAATACATGAGTTTGTTGAATCTAACAAATAGTTAATAATAGACAATTTAGACACAATAGACAAGTGTTTTGTTGAATATTATTGTTAATTAATATTATTTTACTAAACAATATTGAATGCTATTTTGAATAAAACTAATATTACATATTAAAATTGCTGACTTAAAATGGTAATATTGATGAGTATTACACTGGATATGAAACAAAATTAATTTATTGTTAATAAAATTGTGAATAAATATTATATTAGAAAGTGAGATTAGTTTTATTTATTTATATACGTATATATAAGTAATGTAGTATAAAAATTTAGTAAT